GGTAGAAGTTGGCAGTGAACCCTTTGGCACAGGGGTTGACACACACACACACACCGTCAAACCTACTAGACGTTCAGTGGGTGTACTGGTTGAAAAAAACAATGTGTTTTCTTTGACACGCTTTCTGGAGGCTTTTCGATATCTTCTATTTCGATCTACTTATATACTATCCAGACACTCCATGTATGTGATATTTACCTACATTGGGGTGGTTTTGGGGGTCAATGTAGGCATATATGGTTATATGGCATACATGCAGTGTATGGGCTATACATTCATCATGTGCTTTTGTGACGTGATTGCCGATGAACACTGGAGAACCCCGCGGGTAACACCGGAGTCACCTCACGACCGAGTCGTGACGGAGGTCACGACACGAAGGCGAGGTGAGGTTGTTTCAACCACCGGTTCCTCCACCATCCTCCACCCTCCTAGGAGCAAGGACGCTACTAGGAGCAAAGGGCATCGCTACTAGGAACAAGGGCCTTACTACTAGGAACAAGAAGCTAGTAGAAACAAGAATTAGTAATTAGAATTAAAAGTAATTCAAAGTAGTAGTAAAGTATAATTCAAAGTAGTAGTAGAGGAGGCTACTTCAACCACCTTCTTTTTTCCCTGAAACAGATGGACCAAGCAACCATTTTGGACTTCAGCCCCCAACCGCTGCTCCCACATGGGCGCTTCCGGCTTTGTTGGAAGGTACAACAGTCGGCTGCTGAAGGCTTATGCTTCCTTAGACGCCCGTGTGGCCAAGCTGGGGCGCCTGGTGAAGTTTTGGGCGAAGCAGCGACAAGTGAACGAAGCCTTGGAGGGGATCCTCGGAGGGGTTGGGAATGGGACTGGGCGGTTGGACGTGGTGCTGGGTGGTGCGCCGGATGGTGCGTTGGTGCGGGGGAACTCCGTGGGGAGTTGGTTACAGGGACGGTGAGCTTTCAATTGGTGGAGCCCAAACGATCTCGCAGACGGTCTGACAGGGTGACAAGAACCAGTGACAAGAGGACTCGATGGGTGAATGGTGAACGTCAGTGGTTGATCGGGGGTTTTTCTGTGGCATGGGGACGTGAGCCGAAACCATGCACTTTATGTGCGCTGCTTGGCTTCCGATAGTTCAGGAGTCCCATCATGCCTTAGGGGCCGTGGTTTTGGTCATCTAGATCATCTAGTCACCCACTCGATCAAATCCCTCCAACAGGTTCCTGAATGATTATATATAGCTATAAATTATAGATCTATAATATAGCATGAGCTATGTACAGTAAATCAATTTAACATATGTTAAACAAATATTCTTAGCAACTTAAGCTCATCACTATAGCCTGTTGGGTGTGGGAGATTCCAGCTTGGGGCTTCTAAGCATCGGGTGTTTCAAGAGGTGAAAACACCGAGCGTTCAGCATGTCCCACACGCTGACCTCGCCCAGACCTCGGGCTGGTCGATTCGCGTGCCCATTTTTCCCGTGCGACTTGGACCTGTCTTATATAATGCATTTCCCACAGGGCCTAAGGATAATTCAGGATGTCAAGGGTCAAATAATGAACCTGGAGCTTTAATTTTGACTTGCATGTGGCATGTTTGTGTCCGCGCAATGGATCAGGACTTTGTCCTCCTATTCTCACTGCATCCTGCTGATTAATTTTTTACAGCGCAAGAACATTTTGCCCATCCTGCAAGAGAAGAACGAGTTGGAAGCCTTTGCGCGAGATGAAATGTTCGATGGCATACATGATGTGCCTCCTGTCATAACTTAGTTTCTGATTCTCAGTATGGGGCTCACCGCTTCGCAGAATAGTTGTCCCGGTTGTTTCCCTTCGATGTGTTGTTTTTCAATTGTTCTTTTTGCTGAGCTTTCTGATCTTGTCTCATGTTGGGTTTGGTAACCTCATTGACAAGAAACTGATAGAAACTGGATTCGCCTGAACACGTCAGAGCCAATCACGGGCCTGTTTTAGGATGTCCACATTTTGAGAATGCCTTGCTGCGTTTCAGACACTCGTTTGTGACTGCATTAGAGAATCTCAAAGACAATGAAGGTATGGAAGACAGAGATATAGGAACTCTAGAATCTTCATCACCCTGCCGTGCATGTTTGTTCCACGGCTGAACTCACTTATAGTGTCCGGTCCGTTTTTCTTTCACTGCTCACGCTTCGTTTCGTCGCGTGGGTTTCGTTTGGTCCCGAGTGTGGGGGCGTTTGAACCGGCCGCCAGGTGGTTTTTGGATCCCTCCAAAGAGTTGACCTGCGAGAGCGCGGAGTGGCAGACCTGGGCGATGAATCGACCCAAGGAGGCGACCCTGCGAGGCCTCTTGACCGGCTACTTCCGAGCCACTTGGCATCCCGTCCCGCGTCTGGCGAGCGGGGGTGGGACCGCACCCGGAAGAAGGAACGGCGCTGGCCGAGCGGAAGAATGGCCTTCTTTCATGTTCTTTCAAGACAGAATCGATGTTGGCAGAGAAATACGTGGTGCACTTCAGAGATCGGTGACCAAGTGGTTTGGACCAAAACACCGAAAATTGAGGGTGCGTACGTAAGATTCGGCAAGCAACTCCAAGAAATCCACTGAGAAGTTGCTTTCACATGCTTTCACCGCAAAAGCGACTAGGGCTTTCACCCAAGAAACACCAAAAACGAAGCCACAGACCAGGTGTGAGTGAGCTGCTTGTTACTATAGTAGCGATGGCACTTATATGGCGTACTAGTAGCATTTAGACTGTAATTTGGTGTCCTTTTTTGCAAGGTTTTGGGATTGTGTTTTGGAGGCTTCACTGCCAGACCACTGGACATGTCTGTGGCATTCAGCAGAGTTTCTTCTTATGGGATGCTGGTCTCACCGACGAACCCCTCTGGAGACCGAGGACTTGGCCTATTCGCTGAAAGCGCACTCCTCTGTGGCCAGCATTCGCTTCAGAGGACACCTTCATAAGGAGGACCGACATTTGTTTGGTGACGGGTTGACCCATGAAAAAGAACTTTGACAGCTGTTGATATGTGGTTCTCAGGTCTAGACTCAGCACTCCAAACATCTTCAAATGAAGATATTCAGGTATGTTATGTGTGTTAGTGTTACAAAACAGTCACCCTCAACCGGATTGCCGAGGTGTGTTTTTCTGCTCTGAGGACTACTTCCGACGGATGCTGCAGAGGAAGAAGGACTGCTGACCCTGTGGGGAGATGTTTTCTCTGAAATGGTCGTGGAAGCCGTGCTGGGATGGGAGTTGGAGGCTTCAATTGTTTACCTTCTGAGGTACATCGTTGGAGCCATCAGATACATTTCTAGTTACTAGAAAGCTTTATTATTGTCATAAGAAGCTTCAAAGATATATTTAAAAGCTTCATTTGTTACTACAAGTGAAACGATTCCCAGTGAAATATTTTGTCTGCCTTTCTTTAGATATTGGTTGTTGTTTCGACCAACGATGAGTTTCAGCCACCAGGGCCAGGAGTAGCAAATAATGTGTGCTCAAGATAAAGAGGATTGCCAACTCTCTGGTTTGGCTTGGAACTTCCTGGCTTCAAAGATACAAAGCCCGAAAGGGCGTTCTGATTCTGGCCTGGGCTTGTCTGGAACACCTGGAAGGAACTGATCACGTGGAAGGAACCGGCTGCTTGGTCGGCAGGAGCTTGAAGTGAAGGTACCCCTTGTGGTCGAGTGCGAGGAGGCCTGGGAGAATCCAGCCGGTTGCCGGGTACTCCAAGGGTATTCTGAAGAAAAAACGTATCCATCCAGCACTATCCGGCACCCGGCTAAGCAGCCTTCCCTGACTGTTTGGAAAGCCTATAGGTCCGCATCTGCGGGCCATGGTGCGGCGAAAGATTCCACTCGAGCGGAGTGTCCCAGCACCCGATAAGTAAGAGGCGACAAGTAAGGCAAGGTTGCGTTCGCATGTGCTTGTGATGTTTCCTTCCAGAATCTTCCAGGCATTCATTAAATCCCTCGGAAAAAAGCCTCCGACTGCGCCGGGATCCCCCGAGCCACTGTGCCACACAACGAGGCCGAACGTAACTCGTTTGAAAACGCGACAGGCTGAGGCGGGTCCTGAAGTCCCAGAGGAGGCAGAGGAGGCGGAGGCGGGTACGGCGTACCGGGTACGGCATTTGCGTCAATTCGGGCGACGGTTTAGGTGTTTGAGGAGGTTGATTCAAGGGTGACCAAGGAATATCACACCGGTTGTTCCCTCAAAGGCTCCCGCGCCAGGCCCACGAGGACGTCCCCGACGACGACGAGGCGGATGCAGCGGTCGACGCGGCGGAGGCCGACCCAACCGCGGCCGTGGAGGTGGCGGAGACGCCGCCTTTGGGCCCTGTGAAGGTCGAGGACTTCGAGCCACCAGCCTTGAGCCTCGGACGGACTTGGATTTTGAAGTCGAAGAAGGGGGGTCTGGGCAGGCAGTCCGCGGGCCTGAGGGCCCAAATTGACCCAAATTGACGGCCACTGGGACGTGGATTATGGTGGGTGTCATAGTGTTTCATAGTGTTTCGTATGTTCCATACAGTTTTTGTGGGGTGTTTCGATGTGGAAAAACCTTGGATCATCCCACGGTCACCAGACAGGATAGACTGCAGTACACGCACATGGACCTCCAGACAGGACACACCCATTGGATGATCCCTGCATATGCGTTTGTTTGTTTCGTTCGGTTGTTTGTTTGTTTGTTTGTTTGTTCTTTTTGTTTGTTTGTTTGTTTTTGGATTGCTGCAAGCCAGTTTGGGAAGGCGATGTGTTCAGTTTCCAATCTATTTTTTTGAGGGCTCGACCGCCAAGCATTTCCAAGCATGCCGCATGCCTTTCTGCAAGGAAGTACAAGCTTCCAGCAGAAGAACATGAGCTGCAGCAAGCCATGTCACTGGGCCAAACACGAGCACCATTCATCCAGTTGGCACCCGAGCTTGAAATTTTAACCCTGCAAAAGCTCATCAATGTTCCAAAAGATACGAGCCAGTTGGTAGCAGGCGGCTCCCGACATAGTCCTACAAGATCCCGCAATGTTTCCGAAGTGGTGCAGAATTTAAAGAACTAGCGACATGATGCGACATGTGGTTTCTTATGGATCATTGAAATGTCTTTCTCCTTGTCTTTGATACCACTGAACAAAAAGGCATATTAGATAGTCTGATAAAACCCCCCACGGCTCAGGCACTCCTGATTTCTTTCCATTTTGTTGGGCTTTGGGCATCGAAGAACGGCTTCCCCTTACTGGTCCCGGCCGTGCGCGACCGGTGCTGCGACCGGCCCGCGCGCAGTGAGGTCTGCGCGGTGCCGTGGTTTTCGGGAAAAAACCACGAAAGCGACAGGTCCTGAGGTTCCGTGAATTGGATCCATCACATGCAACTTCATACCCAGACACGACTAATTGGACTGGCATATTTACCTACATTGGGATGGCTTTGGGGGGGTCAATGGGGCGGCATAATATATGGCAGTCCCATGGGTCGTGTCTGGGTTAGATGAGGGATGTGTCCAAAACGGTGAAGGCGACAATCCTCATCCCATCATGTCCCATTTCCTTGGCTTTCACGACCTCTTCCATCCACTTCCCCAAGGGTCATGCAACGATCATTTGATTCCTGTGAGGCTTTTTCGCCCAAATCTCGCAGACTCTTCGCAGACTGGGTGTGGACATGTGTGGACTCTTCTTCGAGAGGTGATTGGTCGTTTGGGTGACTCTGACTGAACCCTAGGGCTCCAACCACCTCCTGAGAAGGTGGTTGGGGTGGGTTTTGGGGGTCTAACCACCTTCTGAGGATATGATTGGAGCCCTAGAGGAAGTGGATTTTCTTCCACTTCCATCAGGTCCCAGCGGCAAGTGCTTTGCATCGACGATCCCATGGAGCTGGGACGCTCCTTAGGCGCCTCCTTTCAGGCGCAGACGTCGACGTCGGTGGGACGCGGACGCCGCCCTCCGTCGGTGGGACGTGAAAGATCAGTTTCAAGGTGACTTGCTTGGCTTACGAGCTGAAGACCGGACTGAAGACCGACACGTGACTTAGTCACCGTTAGTAGCTGGGGTTGTGAAAAAAGAACACGTTCTTGTTTTCCCCCTATCGGACCCAGAGGTTCATGAACTCATCCATGATCCTTCTCAGGAAAAAGCCGGGGCAGGGGCAGCAAGAGCCAAGAGCTATACCTTCTAGTGGATCCAGCGATATGTTCGTGTTGTTCTTAGGGGCTTCATGGGGGTTCCAAGATGCTCATGAAACAGGTTCACCACTGTGTTGCACATCAGCTGTTGAACATCCAGCTCCCCAAAGTGACCATCCCCTCCCCAGATTGAATGAATGGTCCAGTACCGTGTTTCCCAACATGAAAGCCGCCCTACGACGTCCTTTTGGGAGGGTCAATGACTATTGTTGTATCCCCTATCAGGTGTATGGACATGTCAATGGACCCTCGATTGCATTCTTTCGGGGTGCTTGGGGCATCAAATCTTATTGATAGCTTCGGACCCAGGTAACCCACTCACCAAACCTGGTTTTGCTTAGGGCTTAGACATATATATATACCTAGTAAACCTAACGTATGCAAAAAAAAAATGTAGTTTCAGAAAAAACAGTTTTTTGTTGAACATGTATTTTTTTTGTATAACAATTACCTTTTTGGATTTTGGTTACCTTTTGTTACCTTTTGCATACTTACTGCTGTTTGTTTGAGAAATCATGGGACCATTCTGTCTGAGATCTCCAGTCTGGAGTTGTGGGCAAATGAACAGGGCGCCAGTACTTACTTTCTGTACACAGAGGATGTTGCAATCACCAGAGGGCATTTAGATGATACATGATGCCCCCTGTGCACAAATTGCAACTTCCTCCTTTTGCAAAGATTGCTTTGGAGATCCATATCGCCATCGAAAACATTTCAAAGTGGTCGAGCTCTATCTATTTAGTTCATAGTCATGGTTAGAGTGGCCAAAACTTCAAGACGTTGAAAAGCTGCTCTGCCTTTGCCCTCGAAGAACTTCGAAGCGAAGGCCCTGGAAATCGACCGGACAGAAGCCAATTTCACTGAGAGCATGCTGTGCTTGAGATGCGTCAAATTATCTCAACAGCTTGTCATGGAATGCCTTGATTCCATCTTGCCTGGAAGATTCGGCTAAGTTGCGGTGATCATTCAAAGCTGAATAATAGAGAAACGCTTGGGGCAAGGGAAAACAGAACCTAGGTCGATCTGCAATCGCTGAGTTTTCCGATTTTTTCAGTGGACACTTAAACTTCCATGCAGGAGTGGCCGAAAAACAATTACGGAACTTACCGTCCAAATGACGGAAATCACCGGAAAAATTGCGGAAATTGCCGGACACGGCTTGGATGTTTTGAATGTTGAATGTTTTGCTGTTTCAGGGGCCTCTGGTACATTGGTACATGCAGGTTTCCTTTGATGTGGCCACGCCTGCTCCTATCAACTCCTGGGTTTCGAGCTGTGCCACTCTGTGTGAGGTGAGGGCTTTGAAGGCATGCCCTGCCCGACACATGATGTTGTGCAGCCCCCTGATGAGGAAGACACCCTTCTCCAGCAGTTGCAGGAGCAAAACACAGCTAACTCGCTGTAGTAGTTGTTTCGATTCCTTAAGAGGGGCTCGCACTGCGTTACAGGTTGTGTATGACTTCGACCCAAACGCCAAATTTTTCTCACGCCACTTTTGAGACGAGGGAAATTGTCAAACTGTCCAAATTTTGCGTGTCAGTTAAATGGCATTGTGCAGCCAACAAAGTTCTTATTATTGGGAGAATCAGCCGTGTCAGTAGACAGGTTGCAAGCAAGCAGGTGATCCTAAGGGCCATCGAAAGGTACGGTGTATCCTTGCACTTTCGCCGGAACCGACTCAAACAGCCTAAGTTTAGGTGAAAAACTACCTTTTGGTGTAAGAAGAGGCTGGATTTAGGATTGGAAGCAGCTGAAAAAAAATGAATATTGCATACCCTCCACTGGCTTGATCGCAACAACTACAATTTTACAAAACAATGACGTTTCTTGGCTGAGATGACCTTTTTTGCCGGAAAAGAACACGATTACCATTTTTTTGCATACTTGGGTTTTCTAGGTATAAGTTTACTATTACTTTCCCTTTAAAACTGATCGAACTTGTAGGGGACTTGAGTATGGTTTTCGTGCAATCCGATCGCTTTTGCGGCGCCGGCGCAGGGCTTCGAACGGCTTTGCTTCGAATGGCGCCGAGCCTTTCATCATTTGCACCTTGGACGGTGGTGCGGTTAAAGGGGCGGTCGCCGGATAGGACTTGGTCCTGGGGTGCAAAGGGGTGTCCCTATCCTTTTGAGGATGTCATTATGTTGATGAAAGCCACAAGAACCGGAGGTGTAAAACGTAAAACCATTCTGGAGATTGGAGGCTTTACATGGTTTTACGAATCAACCGTTTACACGGCCCTTTGAGGATGTTGCTAGACTTGATCAAGACGCGCAACACCGGGCTGTATCAAGCTTTCAGGACAGATTTTGGACAGATATCCAAAGTCCAAATCTGATGATGATAAAACGATTGTACATGGATGGTTTATCAGGAGTACACAATGTCCGATGAACGAGTTCACCTTTCTTCCTGGTGCCACCAATTCCTAGGTCTTCAGAACTGCCAGTTCTCAGGGGTCGTCCAACATCACCAGATCACCCGACTGTGGGCACCACCGATCACCACGGGAACACGATCAAGCGGCCCAAGACCGAGGGCCACGATCGCCAGGGCGGCGTCTGGGTGGTGATGGAACACCCCTTAACCATCCTTTACCTCTATCCATGAGGGCCATTATTCAACACCCCAAATCGTGCCCCTATTGGGTGTTCACAGACTAAGACCACAGGCTACCCTGAGCTCAGTGTTACAGGCTGCTTTTTAGGCCCTGGGCCGAATGGTACCTGGCTGCCCTGCAAGCTGGCCACTTACCGGTTTCCTCGTCAGTTGACCCAGGACGCGGTATCCAGAGTGCACCGCAGATCAAGATCTGTCGCATTTGCGTGAGCTCTTCCGCGAGTCCAATGTGACACCTGCAGATGTTGAGTGTGTGTTTATGTTTTGTGTTTTCTTGCATTTAAACTGTTTTGTTCTGGGCTGTTTTGTGCGATTGTGTGGACATCTATGGAGTAGAAGGACATATGCAAATCAGCGACTTTACTCATGGCTGTGATGGTCATGGTGTGGATCCACACTCTACACCGTACACCTTCCAAAAGAACATCATGGGATATCATGGGTGCGGGTGAAGATGGGGCCTTCATTCCATGTCAATGTTCTGTTCGATATCAAATTCTTGGAGGATGTTCCTGGGCAAGGTTAGATTTCAGCTAGCAGACGCTCAGGAAGGAGCTAAGAATATCCATATTCCCCATTAAACAGGGAGCCGATGAGCTAGAGGGAGTTCCTCAACACCTTGCCAGTGAGGGTCCGATTGAAATGGAGTTACAGGTTGAACAGATGTAAAAGCTAAAGCATTAACACTGGAGTTCATACTTTTCAACTCTTGTATTCAGCCTCTTCCGGGTCCATTTGAGAATGTTCCAGATGTTTCTTGGGGTACCAGGGCCTATAGGGATCTTCCATCTCGGACTGCCTCCCCAAAGCGCACACAAGAGCTGCAGCATTAGCACTCGGGTTTTTGAAGCCAGAGGGCGCTGGAATGCATCTCAGAACCAAGTGTTCAAGTCATCTCCCAGTTACCCACCTCTCATCTCAGCTGCTCTAAGGAAGGCAATTTTTCAACTCGAGAGGCATCGGAATTTTGCAAACCTCGTGGAGAAAAGCACCGATCGCCCCAGTCGCTCCAATAAGATCCCCTGGGCTCCAGGCGCGTAGCTCTTCGGATTTGGTCGGACGTGTTTTTTTTTTGTAGGTTTTTGTGCTTTTCACGAAAGCTAGCGAAGCTAGCTGGAGTTACTCTTGCGATAGCAAGGTTTCTTTCGACCGGGTGCAAATCCTAACCCCTGATTTTTCAGGTCGAAGACCCCCCCCCCCCCCCCCCCCCCCCCCCCCTCCGCCCCTCTCCCCTCCTCCCCTCTCCCCTCTCCTCCTCCTTGTCTTCCTCCCACCTTCCCTCCCTCCCTCCCTCCCTCCTCCCTCTTCGCAAGTTCGACTCCGTCCTCTCGTCGCTCTTTGGCATGCGGTTAGCGTTGCGTATCTTGCGGCCGCACTCGCTCACTGTCTCGCTGTCTCACTGTCTCACTGTCTCACTGTCTCTCTCTCTCTCATCTCTCTCATCTCTCTCATCTCTCTCATCTCTCTCATC